TTGTTGGTCTATTTGCAATAAATAGTTCATGCAGGTTGGCAGGAACAGGTGGCAAAATTTACTGCACTGTAAATTACTGTATCATCCCTTTCAACTTTTTTTTTAAATTAAAAATACAGCTACCAACATTTGCTATGCTTTTGGAAAGGTGTCTTAGAGCAAAACACTGCAAACACTTCAGTTTTTCAGAATTTCTCTCTCTACTATTTAGACCTCATCATCTACAACAATCTCATCTCCATTTTGCTTCTGTATTTTTTTCCCTCTCAGAGTAGCTCATCTTAAATTCCAGGAATGTGCAATCCCCAGGCAGAAGCACCCCAACAGCCTCTTAGATGGAGACTGATGCAAAATGATAATTTGTCTTATTAGGAATCTTATTATTTGCTCCTGGTAATATCAGCCAAATCAATTTTTTGGAGGCTTCATGTTTCTGATATACACAAAAAACCAACTGAGATTGTGTAAGTATTTGCTCTTCACATTCCAGTACAGCTCATGTAATCTTGTACACACCAACTGTGTGTAGTTGCCCTTGTTTGCATTAGGTCAAATTTCTAAACTGTTAAGATGTGCTTTTGCTCAAACAGCATCTTGAAAAATTTAATTTCAGCCATATTGATTTATTCCTTGCTTCCTAGTGTCCTTTTCAGTGATATCCAGTGATATTCTATCTCCTAAATTATAATTTCTTCTCACAGCATTTAGAAGAGCTTTGTTTCTTTTAGCTTTAGGACCTATCATTAAATTAGTCTCTTTTTCTTTTGAAATCCCCTTTTCTAAAGATTAGTGGCAAAGCATCACATTTTGGTATCCTTCCTTTTCAATAGTGAGTGTAATCGTCTGTCCTGTGACTCAGCTACCATTGCTCTAGGAATTACCTTCTGTGCATTATTGATCCATTTCTATGCTTAAGTCAAAGTATGGTCAATATGCCTGAATTTTAAAATATTTCCTCTAAATACCTGGGTTTCTAGGCCTTTATTGGGTAGTGATCCTTTTTTGTTATACGCACTGGACATGTGAAGTGCCATGAAACCGCAATCCATGGCCTGGCTTGTTTATCTTATTGTCTCATCTCTGCTTTCTAGATAATTCAAGTGTAAACTCTTCAGAGCCAAGACATGGTCTGATATCTACACCCAAAATTCCACGAGCTCTGAGACACCTCGGAGTCCAGAGACAAAACATTTATAATTCCTAAAATTATAAGAACCTTACGTATTCTCCACCGAGAGCTTGAAATTAGGAATGAACATATTGTTCACCCTTTTAATAATACCTGGTTCAACAGACAAGCCAACACATCCTGATGACACCTGAATTCATATCAGGTGCTGGCCGGTTTCCAGGCATGATCAGTGGCAACCTGCCTGAACCCTGAAAGGAGACAATACACTGGAGGAGTAAATCAGAGATTTGCTTCTGACGCAGCCATAAAACATCATGATAAAACTTTTTTCAGTTTTTATATGCAGAATATATACTCCTCATTGTGGCATATTTTGTTAAAACCCACCAACTTGGTTTGATTCCAGAGGGAGTTTTGCTTTTAGAAAGAGGCTTGCATAAATTGAGACACAAAAATTAATTTTAGAAACAACCAATGAGTTTCTCTTAGTTCTAATATATCACACTGCATTTTTGCCTTTGCTTCTTTTAGAAATGAAGAATAAATGTTCTTAAACAATGATCTTAAACTAAACAAACTGAAAGAAATGTAAAAAGTGTTGTTATGGGGATACAGCTAAAATTCCGTGAGTGAGTTATATGGTGTAAATGACTTGTACTCACCCTTGTGTATCCTTTTGAAATAAGTTAAATCAATTTTTGAGACTTCTGCAATGTGCAATGTATTCACCTTTATTCCACATAACATTCAGACGCAATATTGGAGATTTTTAAAAAATAAATTTTATTTAGTTTTTCTATATATTTCTGTTCAGAGGAAGAGTTCCTAACATTTTAAAAAAGTCATAATGGATAAGTTTAACTGATAGATTGGCAGCTGGCATAAACTTTTAACTAAATTGTGTTGAGTAATACTGACAGACAGGTTGCAAACGCCATACAGCTACTAAAAGGAACTAAAACATCTAATGCTAAAACTACGATGAATTCCTTAAAAGACAAGGTCAATCTAAGCGCTTACGTAAACAGCTCTTTCAACCTAAGATTATGAGAAATGAGAACATGAGAAGAGAACATGAGAAATTATTTTAAGACGGTTTTCTAAAGCCTTTTAGTTAAGACAAACAAAAATAGACTATAAAATTAAAGAGAGTCTGATCCTTCAAGCCTAATGGACAAGCCTCCCCTGGCCTTCAAAGGAGTTCCTTCCTGGCTGTACTTTCAGGATAACTTCTGAAAAATGTTTTGTAACTGTATCTTAACTCCTAATCAATAATTTAATTTCTTTTTTTACTACAGAGACAAAGATTATTTAAAAATAAGCATCTGTTCTCTTTTGCCTCTGAACTTGACACCAAAGCTTTTTCTAAAAAATAAAACTTGAAATCCCATTTTTAGTAACTTGCTGCCAAAAGCAGATACTGCTGATTGCACAAACCCAGATACAAATGAGCAATGAGGAATTAAACTTCTAGATACACTAAAGCTAAATGAATTAATTTTTCCAAAAGAAAACCAAACAGCTTGTAGGAAGCAAGTAATTGGTAAACAAAAGAAACCACAAAAGCAATAAAGAACATAATAAACCTATTAACATTACACAGAATAAAATGTTAAAATAATAATCTCCATTCCAAAGTAAAAATGATTTGCCAAAATATTAACAGCAACAAGTAAAAGGCATCCTTGCATTAAAGGCAGGCTGGAACAAAGCACACTTTGGGTGAACACACACACTTTTGTGATACAGACGTGTCTTGCTCAGTTGCGTCCTTTACTATTTGGTGATGTGAAGCTAGCTGCGGTACTTTGATGCCCGTCCCACTGCCTCACCTTTGCTCCTGTTAGCTAGCTCTTTCTCGTAGCTCCCATCACCAGAAGCAGCAAGCAACTTCCAAACACACAATGTACACCAGCTATCTAATTTCCTGTTGCCCCCAGAGCAGTGCACGAGTTCAGTTTGAGGGGGGGAGGCTGAGGCGTTTACTGCATTTTATTTTATTCTGATGGTTTCCTGGGGAACTGAAGGGATCCTTGGTGGTCACTGGTGCCTGATCTTCTAGACAGGTCTCAGGACGCCCACATAGGCATGCTCTTGTTCTGGTGGGTGACTCTGGGTGCATGTCCACAGATGACAAGAATACAAGCATTTTCTCTTTAACACAATTCAAATTAAAGCTCCAAGTGAAGGCCATGGAGGGAAGAGAGGCACACAGCTGCCTGGCTAGCTTCTCACTCTATCTCCCTACATGAGACCACCTCACCGAGGCTCAGGTGGAAGGACACCTCCTCAGCACAAGCTTGCCTGACAGCTACAGACATACCAAATACATTCTCTGTAATGTCAGTACTCCTTAGGTGGCATCTTTATGGTTTCCTAATGCAGTGTCTCCTGTCCCTCACCTGAGTGAGGGCTGTTCTGGTATCCATCATGGAAGGTTCCCCTCTTCTCAAGGCTCCCCCCATCAAGCCCCAAAGAAATTACAACAGAACACCTCCTGTTGAGCTTATATACAACTCTGAGAATAACATAGCTAGTGTAATGCTTAAAAGGGCCGGATACTTCCCCACAGAGTGGTGAGATTTCTTGGTTGTTGTTCTTGAGACGTTTCCCCAGTCCATCTTTTGAGTCTATTATCACAAACCTGTCTTGAAAGGTTAAGCTTTCACCCCAGCCAAGACAAGTCAAGACAACTGGGAGGGGGAAAGAGGAAGAACCTTGAAAGCTTTACAGATAAGTCTATCTCCTATATATAGTGGCCAATCAGGAAGACTGATCTGGACCTGGGACTACCAGCTCCTAAGGCTGTAAGAAAGAAAAAACATGCAACATGCACACCTGTGTATACACAGATGCACACTATGTTATAGCTAAAAATATTCATCTATAAATGCTAAATGTTAATTTTGATGTGTTCCTTGTTTTACTGTTTAAGCTCTTATGTCTAAATTTGCATTTTGGAATAATAAGCATTTTTATTTACTTTTTCATTGGACTTATTTTTCCCCCAACACTTGCTTATTATAACCTTGAATTCCTGAGATACTGCAGCATTCCCTGTCACAACCTTTACTAAGATAAAGCAACTATTTGTTACACATTTACCTTCTGCAATACAATTAAAGCAAGATAGCTATGACTCAAATTGTAGCTACTGCTGTTCATGATAGCATGAGGATTTTTGCTTCTCATTTATACTATTTGTTGAAGAGGTCTGAGAGACTCAATGCACATTCATAGATCAATGTACAGCTTTTAAAGCCTGTATCAACAGTCTTGTATTTCCAGTTTAATATTATCATCATGAAGGTAGACAAATCAGACATCCACACAGTATCTGTTGGAATCATCCACCAGGAACTAGCACATGAGCAGTTCACAGTAATGAGGGCATGAACCACATGAATTTTCCTTTTTGATTTAGGATAACTTGATTTGCATGGATTGTGCAAGTGGTTTCGCCTTTTGGACCTCTATCCTTGCCAGGAAAAGAGAACTGCTGTGTTAGTGGCTAACTGAGATGATGTCCACTCTTCCAACAGGAGATGATATTGCTGTGACGTTCCTGTCAGTGGCCACTATTAAATCCTGCCTATCCTGTATGCCACAGTGCAGGGTCAGACTCCACAGAGGAGTAAACACCACTATTCCCTAGAACAAGAGTACTTCCATATGGAGGTCAAAAGTGATAACAGTTCTGTAAACCAAACTGATTGCACTAGAACAATATAAAATTATTGCATTAGAAACTGGGTTAATTAAAGTTTAACTATAGTAAAAAAAAAGAGTATTTTTGATTCAGCTATTATGTAAACAGGACAGACAAACCCCCTAAATAACATTTATAGCAAAAGAACAATGGACTGCTTTAAAAGGGACTTTTCCCAGTTTGCTTCCACACTTCTTTGGCTCCTTTAATGCTTTCTCTTTTCACACACTTCCAGTAACCCTGAATGCCTTGCTGTTGCGGTACCTGTTAATAAAGTTAAAGTATGTTTAGTATTTACACAAAAAAGATTCTTATTCACAGACTCTGTAAATATAATATGTAATGCAAAGCTGCTGCTCCCGTAGTTCACATGCATAATAACAAGTTCTTGGTGGCAGCACTCTTCCCAGATTCATAAGCAGTAAAGAATCTTCAGTTTAAAATATAACTACTTTCTATTCACTATCTCTGCTGTGTTTCTACAAGCGTTAACAAGACAGTTGTAGCAATCATCTGTGGTATTTAGAAACAATGATGTCAGCTTGTTACCCTCAAACCTCGATGAATTCGGTTCCTCAGGACTCCAAGAAACTCGCTGTGGCTCAGGCAGTCATCTCCATCTAGATCAAAAATCTTGAAGATGGTATCCAAAACATTATCTGAGAGCTCCTGTCCTGTTGCCACCTTCACTGCTCTCTTGAACTCAGCTAGTAAAGACATAATATTACATCATAAGTGAATGTGAACTTGTAAAGAAATTGGAAAGCACATAAATAGCAGGATTCTGTACAATTTACAATGTCTCATGGGTATCCTAACTGGAGAATTTGGGTTTTGTGAACTAGTAAACTAGGAGGCCTCAGTTCATGCGTTCTCGAGCTTGCTTCATCTTCATAACACAATCTTTATTAATTGTATGACAAACTTTCGAAATGCACTACTTCTCAAGCAACAGTAAGAGTGATAATTTTTGCTAGAAATAGCTGCATGCTGAAAACTTACATACTTTTGGCTGATACCTGTGCATATGGATTTTAAGTGTTTGCCTCACTATGGTCTCATAAAAAATACTACCATTTTATCTCAAACCAGTTTCATGCCAATTTATTCTGCAAGAAAACTCTTCTCCTCAGAGAACAGTATTTTCTGGACATTAGGAAAAATTTCTTTACTGAAGGAGTGGTCAGGCCTTGGAACAGGCTGCCCAGGGAAGTGGTTGAGTCACCATCCCTGGAAGTATTTAAAAGACGTGTAGATGAGGTGCTTAGGGACACGGGTTAGTGGGCATAGTGGTGTTGGGTTGACGGTTGGACTCGATGATCTTAGAGGTCTTTTCCAACCTTAATGATTCTACGATTCTATAAGATGAGGAAATATGTGGGGTTGTCATAAAACAGCAGATAGTAAGAGTGAAATGATTATTGTTTATTACAGCAAACACAATCACAACACATGAATTAGATGCATTTTTGAAGGCATCATGGAAGTGTGAATTTCAAAGAGGAATTGGAGGTTATTAAAGTATAGCAGTATTGTAGCTTGTTACAGCAAGTTGTCCAACTAAGTCATCAATATAGTAATGACGTGGTTTTGCTTTCATAAACAAGTGCTGTTTATAAATAGTGCTATAAACATGATTAGTTCTGAAGCTTACTAGAGGAAAGAGCACTCCTGACTTAGCTCTCATCTTTGCCTCTTTCAACAATTCCTGTATAAATGCAGTTGATTAATTTACAGTTGGCTTAAATATAATTAAGTTGAAAATCCTTCTGTAAAATCCTTCAATATACCACAATTTGAAAAGGACATGAAATATGGGATGCTTATAGTAGAGTCTTAATTTTGTCTTTAAAAAGATGTTAACTGTTTCAGCTCTTGAAGCTAAATATAAATCCAGAGATGGCACTGCACTTTTTTGAACAGAACATGAAGAAAAGGAGAAAGATCTTCTGAAATCGTGGAGCATAATAATCTTCGAACCAAGAAGGGCCACCTTATCAGAGACAAAAGATGAGCTGCTAACTTAGAAGAAAAAAAAGTCTAGAATAAAGGGAAGGACTAAAGGACTGTCCTATTTTTAGATAAATATTCATGTGTGTGAATACACACATGTACACACATGCAAACAGCAAGACAAAGAACTTAGTGAGATTCAGGAAAGGATTAGACATGTATACATGTAACACCAGTGAGTTACCTCAGGAGCTGACTGTTTTCGATCACAGTATGGTTCAGTGCATGAACAGAGTCACAACTGCCTGTTGGTTAGGAATGAGTTTTTACATGGAAACATTACCAGAGTCAACACCAACTGTTGGCCTCATCATCCTTTGGCACTTAAAAATGGGATACTTAATAGAGAAGTGAGCTAAACTCTCATATCTCACTTATGACTATTATTTCACCATTAATTCATCCTCTTTCCTCTCCACTCTTTGTACACCTTGTGCAAATAAAATCTGTCTCCCCCCACAGAAGAAAGATGTTGTCAAACCAGACAGAGGAGGGCCACGAACCCAGCTGGGAACTGGAGCACATGATGGAAGAAGAGAAGCTGAGGGAGCTGGGAGAACAGAAGTAAGGGGGGATCTCGCTGCAGCCTTCAACCACTTAAAAGGGGTTATAGAGAAGAGAGTGCCATATTTTTCTCAAAGGTGCATGGAGGTAAGACACAATCGTTGTAAGTTGCAGCAAGGGTTTGACACAGAAAAGTCTTGATGATGAGAGTGGTTAAGCATTAGAACAGCTGCCCGGAGAGCCTGTGGAAAAGAAACTCTTCCTGAAGGCTGGATTAACTAGTGATGAAAGTCACAAGTTGTAAACCCCCCCAGTTTTGGCCTTCCTTGGTTCAAACAATCTTCGCATTTCTCTCTCAAGAATACCGAATTCTCTTCCTGTCTTCTCACATCTCTCTCATCTTTTTCACGAGCCCATCAAATATTTATTTCAATGAATGTTAATGTCTCATCAAATTTCCTTAGGAACTTTTTACTACTTTCAAATAACTTATGAGAGCTGTCTTGCAAGTATAACAAGCAAGTAATAACCTCAGGATTATAACAAAAAGCATTTGTATGTCCATGAAACTTCTGTTGCATTGCTTCTGTTTCTACTATATGGAAAAGAAGCAACTTCCCTCTTCCAAATCTTTATTTTAAAAACCACTTTACTACATTGCCTGTTTTTCATAGCCATGATTGCATAATGCTACATAAGCACATGGAGAAGGCAGTATGGAGGCATAAGTAAAACACAGCAAGATGCTACAGACCCTGCAAAAGAAGAGATCTCTATTGCTTAGTTTGCTCAGAAAACTAGTTTCACTATGAGGCAAAAGCTTTGTTACCATGAACCTCTACTGAAGCACGTATTGTTTCAAAAAATACTTCCTAATCTAGAATTTAGATTGGACTGACAGTAGCCCTACGGAAGAACTTGGAGGTACTGCTGGATGAAAAATTGGGTATGAGCCAGCAATGTGCACTTGCAGCCCAGAAGACCAACAGTATTCTGGCCTGCACCAAAAGAAGAGCAGCTAGCAGGTTGAGGGAGGTGATTTTGCCCCTCTACTCTGCTCTGGTGAGACCCCACCTGGAGTACTGTGTCCACTCCTGGAGCCCTCAACACAGGAAAGACATGGACCTGTTGGAGCGGGTCCAGAGGAGGGCCACAAAAATGATCAGGGGGATGGAACGCCTCTCCTATGAGGAAAGGCTGAGAGAGTTGGGGTTGTTCAGCCTGGAGAAGAAAAGTCTCTGGGCAGACCTTATTGCGGCCTTTCAGTACTTAAAGGGGTCTTAAAAGAAGGATGGAGAGAGACTTTTTGCCAAGGCCTGTAGTGACAGGACAAAGCGAAATGGTTTCAAACTGAAAGAGAGTAGATTTAGACTGGACATAAGGAAGAAACTTTTTACAATGAGGGTGGTGAGACACTGGAACAGATTGCCCGGAGAAGCTGTGGATGTCCCATCGTTGGAAGTGTTCAAGGTCAGGTTGGATCGGGTTTTGAGCAACTAGTGAAGGTTTGACTAGATGATCTTTAAAGGTCCCTTCCAATCCAAACCATTCTATGATTCTATGGTTCAGTCTGCTGTGAGCAGTTCATCATATGATAGCACATTAGAACTTACAAATCAAAACATTTTGGGAACTTTGTATTATTTTTTCATGAAATAGGATTAATTCAGAATAAAGAGCAGTATACTATTTTTGGACTTCATAGTGCTACTTTGGGATAGTTTGGGATAACTTATTTACATTAATTCTGTAACAAAAATGCATTTTTTCCTTTAAAAAAAAAACATACGAAAGGTGTGCAGTACTTACCCCGTTTAACAGGACGATTGGCTACAGTAAACATCTGCATGGCAATAGAAAAGTCTTCCAAGTTGTTTGTAAACTTGCAGAAAGTCTTGAATTCTTCCAAACTGATATTCTAGAGTACCACAGAATTCAGATGATATATAATGAATAACACATTCCAACCCCAGTAAATCTATTTTAGTAAATCTGGTGGGACCTAGTGTTTAGGTGTGATTGCTTACTCATCGTCAATATTTGTATTTCTCAGCTGGCAAATTATCATTGTTCTTATTTGCATAAAATTCAAAAGCTGCAATAATTCACTTGAAAACTAGTTACATTATTAGATGCTCATATTCAAATGAAAACCTGTACATACAAATGAGGAAGCAAAGCAAAGCATGCTTTATATACCAACCTCTCCTGCCTCAATTCTGTCTTTCACATTCTGCCAGTAAATTTCATTGTTTTCCTCATCGGTGAAGTACAGTAACCATTCTGCAAAGTCTTCTTTTCTCATGACATTCAAACCCTTTGAAAAGTTTATGAATTCCATTTCTTGGACTTCTGTTTGCAGATTTTCCATGAATCTAAGTGTAAACAGATATTATCCACAGTTGATACTTGCATCACTGTATCACTACTACTACCTTAGCTACTAAATGCAGTAGACACTAACCCTTAATCACAGATACTATCGATACCATTGTTTAAAATGTCACTGGTTTAATTTTACCTGTGTGTGCAGATGTTTCCACGGCTGCATTTCAGTAATGACACCAGTAGGGTGCTCTCTAAGTCTGCTTTCATAGATTGCTGCTGCTAAGATAATTTACAGATACATTTGGCATATAGTTTTTACTAATGTTTAAAAATGTGCAGATAATGAGATAATATGATTGGTAAGGCAGTATTATAACGAATGAATGAGAAAGGACATGGTAACTAAAGGCCTGACACATGTTTTATGAAATTTCATATTAATAAGAGAGGAATGACAAGGTTGGAAAGTGCCTAGAAAGATGAGGCCCTAATAATCACAAAGGTGAAAGAAAAGAGGAAACTTGAAATCATCACTGCAGGAAAAGATGACTAAAAGCCTCAAAGATTATAACTGCAAAGAGGGGTTTGGCAAATCAGTTCTGCACTCACTAGAGGATGGATTAGAGAGGATTACAATTGA